CAATTCTATATTACTGGTTGGATCAAGTCCAGGGTCCCCGATAACCTCTCCATTCATCCCCCTGAGTCCCATAACAACACTTAACAATTACAGTTAAGGGCTCTCATGTAATTCTGATCCACGAACCCCATGATATCTTTTTTGCGCTATTAAATCCATCTTGTAGCAAAGCAAAGATTTATTTTATATTTAAGAGGTATTATTAAAATTGACCTTTTGTTGAATAAGAATATATTTTGATTGTTTGAGACTTTTCGTATTCAGTTTTCTTATTTGAAAAATATAATAATGAAACATATCAGTAGCTTGTAAAAACTCATTCTTATGGTAGTAATAAAAATAACTTAAAAGGTGTTTCTAGTTACCCTAAACTAATCTAATTAACTTATCATTTGTGCTCATGAAACTTTCTTTAAAAAACATTCTTTTCTTTTTTTCATTCGCTTTGCTGTAAAGCCCTCTCACTGTGATGTATGTTAGGTAATACAGTTTAAAAACCTTAATTAAGAAATTCTTAATTTGTGAATAAAATATTCATGTCTGGTTTATTTACACGAACCTAATATGTTAAGAGTATCGTGCATCATTTGGTAAAACTGTATACAATTTCGCTTTTGATTTCAATAAAGACTTAAAGCATATTTCTTATTATATGAAATGTTATTTACGTGTATCGTGTAAACCATCAGGTGGATGCCAGCTTTACGTTTGACACCAGAGGGAGAATATTCCACTTTTGTGCAAGGTCTGGGACCTGGTCAGCTTGTCGGTAGACAAGCACTAGCCTCCCCAAACTTGGGAGACATACAACTGAGCGTCTGTGATAGAAAAGGGAACCTCGAGGTTGAAGTTATTAGGGCGAGAGGTCTTCAACCAAAACCAGGAGCCAAGTGTTTACCAGGTCATTAATAGTTTGATTTTACTTGATGTTAAAGTTTCTGAGAAGGTTGTATCCCATGGTAAAATTATAATTAAAATTACTACATGTTTGAAAATCCAATTTGATCCTTAGATACTGTCAAGCGATAAACAACCACCCGTTGACAATTTTTTAATAAATCAACAAATGCTTGTATGATATGAATTTCAACTTTGAATACATTTATGAACATTATCTTAAATAACAGATGGAATATTGCCAAAATAGAGGGTTGTAAATGAAAACCTGCTTGCTTCATGGGCGAGAGAAAAACGTTTCGGTGCACTTGTACGAATCTTCATCGGCCACAGTTGTATAGAAACGTCGCTGAACTGATGGGAGCCGACGTTTCGATGTGTTTGTTTCATCAGGTTCATTTGTATTTAAACGTTTCTCATAACAGTTTAGCAAGCAATTTATCTATTGGTCGTTTCTGTATTTGCCAACGATGATGTGACTTATTTTACTTTTACTGAGGGTTGAACACCCCTTTGAAGATACTCTCAGTAAAAGAGTTAAACATTTCTAAATGAATCATTTTATTACAAGTTACAGCATTTAAAGTAAAGACGTATATTTATAAAATAGGTACGACGTTCCTATCACTGGTGCGATCATTCTCAAGCACACAGTAACAGAAGGTACATCTATGAACAGAAAACATCCTGTGTACTTGAAAAGGATCGCACCGGTGATTGAAATGTCGTACCTGTTTTAAAAATATTCTTCCTTACTGTAAAAGCTGTACCGTGTAATAAAATAATACTTATAATCAGTAAGTAAATTCAAAACGAAATTAATGTTTCCAAATTAAATAGGAATACAAATAGAAACACTGTGTAAAATTAATTAAAACTGACTAAAAATATATTCAGATTTTTCCTTCTTTCTATCTATTATTTTTTAAGAGTCCGTTTTATTATAATTGCATTTTAATTAGTTAAAAATATAACTGTAGGTAGAGTGTCAAATAATGTGTCTATTTTTTACAACAAATTTAATTCGAAACATTGATTTCCTTTTACAGCACCTTACGTGAAAGTGTACTTAGTTCAGGGCACCAAGTGTCTCTCGAAGGCCAAAACTACAACTGCGCGACGAACCTTGGACCCTTTGTACCAAGAGCAACTACACTTCCACGAAGATTACAGGGGGTGCATACTGCAGGTAAGTTTTACCTGTCAGTTTGCTAAGTCACCATGTATTGGTTGAAAAAATAAATAAACGAGGTCTGTGTATCACTTAAACGACATCACATTGGATGTCACATTCTTGAGGTATCCCTTTTTTAAAAGGTCTTTTGTGATGACATTGTTGTTGTTTTTTTAATGCAATTCGATACGATAAAGTCTGTACTTCAACCGAATCATGGGGCGTTTATGCAAGACGTGTTGCAACCTTGCATTTCTTTTAGGGTTTTTATGAGTTTTAATTTCGATGTTATTCTTAAATTTGTGGTTTTGAAATAGAACCAAAACCTTAAGCAACAGCTTGCATTTTGCGTTTTCTAAACAAGGGGATTAATATATCATAATATTTCCTGATAAACGATGACATTTCCTGAACTTTAGATGGTCATTGTCATGATGTGTTGACCACACCTTGCGTTTGTTGATGATTCTTTGCAGGTTACTGTGTGGGGGGACTACGGAAGGATGGAGAAGAAAGTTTTCATGGGCGTGGCTCAGATCATGTTGGACGATGTCGATCTCTCTAATATCGTGATTGGATGGTACAAATTGTTCCATCCTGCCTCTCTCGTCAATCTTCCGGGAAACAGACAAGGAAATTCTCAGTCTTCATTAGATAGTTTTGGCTGATTGTGTTTGTTTCTGTTTAATAAGAATTGGTGAAGGACGTAAAGAATCTGTGATGGAAGGTAACGTCGACCCGGTGTTCTCTCCCCCCCTCTCCCCCATTGTACTAATATTCCTATTGAGGATGTGACTTAATACGACTTCGTCATCTGTGCTGTAAACGCGAGGACCAAACACAATAAGTGATCTGAAGAAACCTGCGAACAGAGAAAGAGTGCCTGGTAATCATAGAATGTTAGTGGTTATTTCATCTATATATATATATAAATATATATATATAATAATAATAATAATACTTCCTCAATGAACTTACAACATTTTCTTGTTGGAGTAGCTGCTTCAAATTTTATATCATATTTGTTTTATTCACATTTTCCATATAAATAGTACTTCCAAGTTTTCCCGTAGAAAAGAAATCTAAACATTTTCGACAGTATACCTCGCGCCTTTCCATATAAATACGATAAAACTGTTACACAAAGATATCGAATATGTCTTTAAATCTTAGAATAGTATTTGACTTATCTTGCACTTAACTTTCTCTCTAATACAACCATTTTTACTCTAGTCAAAGTGTTAAAGTGCACATGCAAATGTTTAAAAAATCAGATTTACGTATATCTATCTATTTATATATATATATATATATATATACATACACACACACACATATATATATATAGATAGATAGATAGACAGACAGACAGATAAGTAGATGTGATTTTTTTATGTACTGAATGAGCACAAAACGATGTGACCGAAGAAACCGTGGGCCTAAAAATGAGTAAGATAGTTTCCACTTGTGATAAAAAATTGATGTGTACTTCTCACATCTGTAACTAGCTCAACGTGTAAATCTAAACATTGCCTGAAATTAGCTCCACCGTAGCACAGTCTTCTGATTAATAACACAAAAACAAAAGCGAAGATGGAAATAACTATTAAAGACATTGAACGCTTGTATATATGTTATATGACGAGAAGAAAATCGTATATAGAACGCTGCCTTTCTGCAGCAAATAGGATTATATATACGCTTGCTTATTGATCATGTTGATTTTCTCTCTTCTAGCTATAAATGATAAAAATATATTCATGAAAATGGTGCTGTGATCAGTTATTGTAAAGTGTTTAACAGTTTAAATTGGTTTGTAAGTTTAAAGACGTTTACCCATACCGGGTTCTGTCTATCTCAAACACATTTTTGTGGCATTGCAAAGTCATACCAACTTTAAAGGTTCAACTTAAGGAAATATTCATAATTGGATACATGAACGCTAATATACGCTTTGCTTTGCTCTGCTTGTAGTTGGCAATATGTTTCAGTGCCTTTGAAGTTAGCGTCTGACAGATAAGAAACATTGTTGGAGTAAAAGTCAGTTGGGTGTTATTATATGACAGAGAAACCATCTTACCACACTCATTTGTTATGCATTCATCAAGCTGGAGTTAAATCCTAAAAGCAAGTCTAGCGTAATTTTTACATTGAAGATAAATAGGATAACTCTTTCATTAGCAATGTAGATTCGTTATTTTAACTCTTTTTTTTCTTCTTTTTCTTGAAATGAATATCCAGTTGACTTATTCTAATATTTTCCGGCACAAATCGAAGGTAGCGAACTCTGAAATACACGTTCTTTGTTACCTTTGTATTAACCAATCAGTACTTTCCTAACTCGATAGCTCCATTGTTCACCTGCATTAATAACAATATTACATAATAACTTATATATCATATTTATTCATCAACTTGTGTATGCTTCGACAACAGATGGCTTGTATTAAACATATTGAAAATAAACAGAACTGACTGTAATGGGACAAGAGGGCTGAGGAAATTTGCTTACGTTTACAGAAATGCCTAAATTATTATATTAAAGACACGTGTTGATCATTTCTATCAAATATTTGGCGGAAGTACATCACATGGTTATTTTTTTCTGTTTACAATATTCATCCCATGATTTGATTTGTAGGCCTAGTATAAACACGTTAATGTAACGTTTGTAAACACATGCAATTATAAGCTGTGCACTAATTGTAATGCTACGACTTTCATATACAGTTGTACCATCAACAATTAAGTCATGAGGTGTATAACGTTAATAGCGGTCCCACAAAGAGTAAAGACCTCGTAACTCTCACTGATTGTCTGTAGAATCGGCTAGATACATTGTGTACTACTACCGCTAGCTCTTTTATAATCTTATCCACGCTGTTTTCATACTTTATGTGCAATAGAGACATTACTCATTGCATACACAAAGTAATGACGTATTGTGTGTATCGTATATTGGCACTCTTAAACTGGATGCAGGACTGTTAAAAATTAGTGAAAACGCTAATAACATGTGTGTTGTGTACTATGCTCTAACAAATTTAAATTAATAATAAACAGGTGATGAATTTGGGTATTTCGAGTAATATTTATTCCAAAGTTAATAACTTCTATATAGAGCTATAGCTAGACGTTTGTTTGTTGAAGCAACACTGTAGACAAGATTAATCATATCTGATGACACGTACTTCATTATAATCGTAAGCACACAATTCTGGTACCAGATTGTTTTAGTAAAACTTTTGTTTTGCATTGCCCCACGTCTTCTGAAAACAAAACATTGGGTGATGTAGTACTTTACTTAAGCTGTTGAATTTTAAGGTGCTATTTTTCAAATTTGTATTATGGAGTAAAAAACTAGTTATTTTAAAGAAACCTAATAGTTTTTGTTATTAGTTCGGTAACTGTGAGGTCGTATAATTGGAAGTATTTTACCAACAGCTCCCCCCCCCAAAAAAAAGAAGTCATTAATAAAACAGCAGTAGTGCGATTTTTTGTTATTTTGCCCAGTCATGGTTGCTGCACGTGTTAAAACATAATTATGAAAGGTTATACAAACGGGGCAAAGAAATTCTAAAGTATTGTTACGTCTCCGTTTGTTAATTGATTTTCCGTAACTTCGTTCCGACGAAACTTTAGCGACACAAGTCCTTACTTAATAAAACTGGTTTATTCTTTCTGAATATAACTTTACCGATACACTTGATTTCAACATTCGCGCTAAAACAAACGCTATAACGAACTTCAACAATACTCTCTGACTGCAGTTCAATTACTCACTACCTACACACACACATTCTGTCATGTCACGCCGTGACCATCTTATATATACCAGACTAGCCTATATCTAATAAATGCTAGGGCATTCACGAAGGAACGGGATAGTTCTAGAAAGCAGGTGGCGTGATAATAGTCACGTGATCTCGCTGACGCAACAGTATTTCATATTTGAATTTACCGAATTTACAATAAATGTACCATTAATTTGAAATCGGAGATTCAAATGTGATCTTTTTTTAAATATGTTGTTTAAATTTTCAGGTCATGGCGTTGTTTCGTGTATTACCAATTACCTTTAAGACATAAGTTCATTGTAAAAAATGAACTTATTTATTTGCGTAAAAATTATTGGTACTGTGTGTTACTTGATACGTTCTTTCCAGCGTGAGCATTTTTCATTAAATCATTTTGAATCCCTTTCCAACCTTAAATATGAAGTGGAGAATTGTACAAAAAACAAACTTAAAATTTTAGTTCAAACACTCTTCCTTTCACTCGTGTGTTGAGGGTTTCTGGTAAATAACAAAACTGATTTATTTTATATGGAATAGTCTAAAACTTTATTCTAAACAACCAAATCTTCGTTTTAATAATCAGTCCTTTAAAAGCTCGGACATCCCCCCCCCATCCTCCCTATACGCACCTAATGTATTAGCTGTCGAGTTTATTTCCAGCAATATATTTACAAGTCTTATGACTTCCGCCTCTCATAAATAAGGGTTATTCAGTGTGGTCATGTGATACCACGCTTCCGGATCCAAGCGCCAGGCATGTGCAACTTCCTCCAGGGCGCGGGCCGGTAAGCAGTTTTTAAATTTACTTGCGACCCACACCATGGGAAGCTAAAGTAAAATATAAAAAGACTGCAACAATTTCCTTAGCAACATTTCTTGTTATTATCATTAAAAGGGTACAAATAGAGTAGCAGTAGAATATACACTGAATGAGAGTTTATGATGTCAGAAAAACACGTAGATTCAAAAAGTCTTGATACAAAATGATAAAAACCCTATAACTTGAGCTTTTTCACAAGATGGACCTTTCTTCTTCAGAGGCAAATGGGAACAGTTTACCCCTGAAGAAGAAAGGTTCACCTTTCAAAAGCCTCAGGTTAGAGGGTTTTTATCATTTTGTACAGTGAATAAGAGTATTATTCAAATAATAAGTTATGAAAAATAAAATATTTTAAATCATTTACCGTAGCAATATGTGGATCAGATGTATTCGTAGCTAATAATCCATATTTTAATTTATTTAAGTTATAAGGCATTATTTTAAAAAAAATATGAGAAATCAGTGTGAAAAGAGATTTTTTTTATTTCTAGGCATCCTCTTTTCTCTCTCATTTATTCACCACCCCTACAGTAAGTAAAAATTAACGTAAATTACTTATTATAATATCGTCATCGCTGAAACAAAGCATAATCTTCTTAGCCTTCAATCTTGTTTTGTTACAGAACCATCAAATAGAAAATCAGACTCATCTTGGCACACCCGCCTGTCACATCCTTACTTTCAGGATTTTTTAATAGTTTTCTCTTACGTTTAATACTATATCATTTATAACCAATAGAAAGCCAATGTTTTCATATATCAAATGACGTATTATATTACTTTGTTTTATGTACACAGAATTGTCAGTTTCTCTTTTAGAACAAGCTTCGTTCCCACGAGTAAGATGCCGACTAACTTGGATGAATTTGTAACGGCTCTTGTCACATAGTTAGACAGTCTACAGCGGTGATTACTCCTATATACGCAATAGTAATCAGTAAGACACAAATAGAATAATTCAAATGAAAATGGGTTCATTATATTTTATTTGTTAAAGTAATTTAATTCCAGAATTTTGTTAGTTTGTAGGTACTCGTAATTTTAATTTTTCCATTTATTGATTACAGAGAAAGAAAAAAAAACGAGTTCGTGGGCGGCTCGCGGGCCGGATTCAATTATATTTTAAGAACTCATCGCGAGCCGAACGTACCATATGCCTGCGTTAGGCCATTGCAGACTTGGGGCCAGTAATATTCTTCATGATGTGTCATTAATTTAGATATTATCATGAACGTGTTAAGAAAGCTCTCAATAGAAGAAAGTAATTGGTATATATATTGCTAACGAAAGATGTATTTATTGGAATAGTTAACATGTCGGGCCACTGTCCTTCCTCCGAATTAAAAGTAACTATTGAAGGTGCGAACTGTACAAGAAATCATGGATAGAAAACACGAGGTTGAAATTATTGCAGTCGTTGTTCATGGAAGCTGATGATATAAATAGCGCCTAGACCACTTCTGATGAGCCTTAGTGTTGGGCGTCTCTGATATACCAGGTGTAATGTGGTTGACGTGTTGGGCGTCTCTGATATACCAGGTGTAATGTGGTTGACATGTTATAGCATATGTAATCTACACCAGGTGTAATGTGGTTGACATGTTATAGCATATGTAATCTACTTTGTTTTTACTCATACGTTCTTATAATATGTGCTATAGTAAATATATGTATATATATATACAGTTCAACAATATTGTGTTTTGTG